TTCATTTGAAAACTTTTTGCATGATTCTCATGTTCCTCTTCTTTTGATTTCATAAATCTATTCTTATACATGGTTTTTATAATGAGACACTATCTTTATAATGTCATATCATTATGTGTCCTCATTGTATCTTGTTTGTATGTGAGTGATGCTTAGCATATCTTTTCATTTTTGCTTGCTCACATATTTGCCATGATCTTTTATTGTTTATATTTCATATGGCTTTTTGATAGGGGGAGCTATTCCCTATATTTGTTTTCTTCATTCTTTTTTGTCCCCTTTTTGATGTTGTCAAAGGGGGAGAAATATTGTGAGTATATGTATATTCCTTCTTGTTTATATGCATGTGAATTGTAATTTATATATTCATTTTCTTTCATGCATATATCCTTTTTGTAAATTGTTTGTCATCATCAAAAAGGGGGAGATTGTTGGCCTTCTTGTTTTGATGATGATTTACAAACAATTTACTACTAATGTTATTTGTCTAGTGTTTGTGCATTCCTATTTATTGTAGACAAACAACGTAGATGGAGGATGGATGGATTGCGCCATAACGACGATATCAAATGGAGGTTGGCGGAATTGTGGAGTGAAGCAACATACAATTCAAGTTAAAGATCAAGTTTAAGCTTCATCCGCAAAGTGTACCAAGTCAAGCTTATTGAAGATCAAGATCGGTTTGGGTAATCTAGTTTAGGTTTTATATTATGTGTGTTAAGTACCTTAAGCTCAATATCATATACACACACGTATTTGGTTTCTATGTATATATATAGTTATATATATACATGCATGGTTTTGGGTTTTCATGTTTTGGACATACTTGCAAAATACATGAGTTTTCACAAATAAAAATTTCAATTTGAGAAATTCTTTTTCTAACATGTGTGTTTTCATGTTTACAAACATTTCGCAAAGTTTCATCAAGTTTGGAATTGATTTGTTATGTTTAAAGGAATTTACAAATTCACGTTTTCGTTCGTGCACATGTTCGTGCATGTTTTACAAAACTGATGAGTTTTCACAAATGAGAAGTGATATTTGAAAAATTCTTTCTCTGACATGTTTATCTACATATTTAGAAACTTTCCACAAAATTTTACTATTTTTGGAGTTGATTTACTGCACCTAATTGATTTTACAAAATCGTGTATCACAGCAGATTTTCAGAAACTGTATTTCTGTGTTAAACCATTTATTTCTCTCAACTGGAAAATTCTTTTTCAGAAATTCTTTCTCTAATATGTGTTTATACATGTCTAGAACCTTTCCTCAAAAGGTCATAATTTTTGGAGCTGTTTTACTATTTTTAACCGATTTTATAAAATCGGATATACCTGCTTCAGTACCGTCGGTCGACCGAAATTTCCGCCGGTCGACCGAAATTTACCATCGGTCGACCAAAATTTCAACCCGGTCGACCGAAGACTCTCTGGACGTGTCCTGCGACTCTGACCTTATTTCCGGTCGACCGCGATTTTCATCGGTCGACCGCTGGAGTCCCAACGGCTCTTTTTAGAGCCGTTGAAGATGATTTTTTGGTCTTTTAACTTTGGATTTTTGGCTGAGTTTTGAGAGGGTATATATACCCCATTGCTGATGTCTTTTCAGTTTTATTAAGAGAGTTTTAAAAACAAGTTTAAGAAAGTTTTAAACAAGGGTTTGAGTTTGTTTAGTTTGTTTTTGGGGTTTGCTGTTACAAAGAGGAGTTTGCATCACCAGTTGAGGATTTCATCCTCAAAATCTTCTCATCCTCTCTTTGTGTTTATAGAGAAGTTTCCTTAACTCTATTTCCTAGCATTTTTACTATTGAATTTCATATCAATTCTTATTGCTAGTTCTTATTGAGTTAAGTTTTATTGAATCTCACTGTTACACACACCCACATTGAGCTTATTGTATCTTTCATACATAGTATAGTTGGGTGGTGAGAGATTGTAACTTTGAGTTGTGCTTTCATTGTGTTCTCATCTATTGTAGAGAACAAATTTATATTTGTTACATTGTGAGTGTTGTAAGGTTTTCGGTGAGCTAGAAACCGAGTGTGTAGTGAGGTTTTCGGTGAGCTAGAAACCGAGTGTGAGGAGTGACGTTGATCGGTGAGCGTTGAAAACCGATACTGTGAGGTGTAAACGTTATTCGGGTGAACGTAGAAAACCCGGTTGATAGTGGATTTCTCCCCGGGAGTGGGGAGCGGAGACGTAGGACGGAAGGTCCGAACTCCGTGATCATATCTTGTGTTTGAGTGTGCTTTGGCGTTTATTTATACTTGTGTTTATAATTCTTGTTGCCATTGTCATTAGCTCATCATTTATATGATCCACTATCTAGTTCATATTGTTTACCCTTGTGTTAGTTTATATATCCTTGCATATATATATATTTCATCATATAGGATATATCTCATTGTTTACATTGCTTATCCTAGCTCATATATCTTTTGAGAAGAAGTTAAAGGTAAAGGAACGTTCATTCTAACTTCTTGGATTTCCACTTTACGTGGTTCCATGCTCCCACTAATGTCATCATTTTTAATGAACCTGACATTTCCAGTTTCAACAATTTTCGTACTATGGCTAGGACAATAAAATCTATACCCTTTAGATTTTTCTGGATAACCAATAAAGAAACCACTGGTTGTTCTTGAGTCCAGTTTCTTTTCATGTGGATTATAAATTTGTATTTCTAAAGGACAACCCCAAACATAGAGGTGTCTCAAACTGGGTTTCCTACTCGTCCACAGTTCAAAAGGAGTCTTTGGAACTGCCTTACTAGGAACACTGTTTAACAAATACATAGCGGTTTTTAAAGCATACATCCACAAAGATAAGGGTAAAGAGGAATAACTCAACATACTCCTAACCATGTCCATTAGCGTACGATTACGCCTTTCTGCAACACCATTTTGTTGCGGTGTACCTGGCATAGTGTACTTAGCGCATATGCCACGCTTTTAAAGAAATTTAGCAAATGGACCAGGACATTGTCCCGTTTTGTTATATTTTCCATAAAATTCACCACCTCTATCGGATCTTACAATTTTCACCCTTTTGTCTAATTGTCTTTCAACATCATTAATAAATACCTCTAGGGCATCTCCTGATTGAGATTTTTCATGTAACAAATAGACGTATCCATAACATGAAAAATCATCAATAAAGGTGATAAAATATTTTTCTTTATTAAATGATGGAATATTAAAAGGTCCACATATATTGGTGTGTATAATTTCAAGGAGCTGAGTGCTTCTTGTGGCGGCTTTCTTAATTGTATGATTTGTATGTTTTCCTTTAATACAATCTATACAAATACCAAGATCGGTAAAATCCAAATTAGGAAGGATTTCATTCTTTACCAATCTTTGTATTCTTTCTTTGGAAATATGTGCCAAACGTTTATGCCACAAAATAAGCTGAACTTAACTTCATTTAGTTCCAACATTATGATGCAAGGTTAACAGAGTTTCAGGAAAAAGATTATCAAGCTTTAATTTGTATAAATCATCAGAGAGAACACCAGAACCAATAAGATGACTATGCTTAAACAAACTGAAACAACCATTTCCAAATTTAAAAGAGTATCCAGTGACATCAAGTTTAGACAAAGAAACTAAGTTGCAAGAAACAGTAGAAACATAAAGGGTTTGAAAAAGATCTAAATGATGTCTAGTGTCTAAAAACAAGCGGTAGGTCCCAATGGCCTCAACTGGAGCTTTGACTCGATTTCCCATGAAGATGAAATTTTCATTTGGATTTATGGTTTGGGTCATAAGGAATCCCTGCATCGTATTTAAAACATGAGTGGTAGAACCAGAATCAATCCACCAAGTATTATAAGGAACTTCTGTTAGATTTGATTCGAAACATACAAAAGCAAGAGGTTTACCTTTTTTTCGAACCATGCCTTACGTTTAAGGCAATCTTTCTGATAGTGTTCAGGCTTCTTGCAGAAATGACACTTATCGTTCTTTCGTTCCTTCTTGTGGATTTGGACAGGCGACACATTATCTTCCAGTGCTCTTTTCTTGCCATTTCCATTATACTTTCCTGGTTTCTTTCCAGCTCCTTGATGACCCATGAGATTAATTGAGTGAGTTCCTTGTTTCTTAAGCCTTGCTTCCTCTTGAATGAGCATACTTTGCAATTCAGTCACATTCCACTTATATTTTATAGTATTGTAGTTTATTTGGAATGGACCATACTTAGAAGGCAAGGAGTTTATGATAAACTGCACAAGAAAACTTTCACTCACTTCCATTTCAGTAGATCTCAATCTTGCTGTTGTGTTTGTCGTTTCAGTGACATGCTCATGCATGGTACGAGAACCATCGAACTTCATAGTGGTCAACGTACCCATTAATGTCCCTGCAATTGACTTATCAGCAGAGTCAGATTGCGAGAGATCTTCCACAAATTTCATAAATTCCTTTGCTTTATCAGTCTTAGGAATTGTGGAGTTAATGTTGTTTGCTATCGTCATCCGCATGAACATTAAGCTAAGTCTATTTGATTTTTCCCAAGCATTATGAAAAAACATTTCATCATCATTGTTAGAATCAGTAATAGCAGCGGGCTTATCATATAGGAGTGCTGAATCAAGATCCAGAACACCTAGGTGAAAGTGAACTTGTTCACTCCATTCATAAAAATTAAGCTCATTGAACTTTACAATAGACGAGGCTTGCGAATGGAGAGAAATAGGTGCTGCAAATATATAGAATAATGCTTTGAGTCATAAATTTAAACTTAAACACATAATACATATTTAAATAGCAGTCAAATTAACAATAAACGTACATCGAAGTTTTCCTTTGGATGACCCATCAATGTACAACAATAAACATAATTGATGCTCAGTTTTATTTCATATAGTTGGCAATTATATATACACCAATTAGATATGCTTACTATCTTTGGATATTCTAAACATATCTAAAGAACCTATGTCGCTCAAGAACCTATATTTATGCATTTGGGATATTTCTATTGAAAATTCTAATGGGAAAGAAACCTGCATTAGTGAAGGGATTGAAAGCCCAATTGGAGGTGTTACTCAAGAACCTATATTGTGGAAGAACAATGGAGGTGTTTGCTATTGAGTTATTGAAAGGGATTGAAAGCCTAATTGGAGATGGTTCAAACTTTGAAATAGGCAAGCTCTAGGTGTTTTGGTTCAACCTTTGAAACTTGCCAGTGCCGACCAATGTTATAAATATCGACTGATAAACCAATATTATCGATGATTTATTAGTTTTGGGAGTCTTCCGCTATGATAAGTTCATTTCTAAAGCGGTTATCATTTTCAGATGTTTATTGCTGATAATGCGGCAATAAAGTGAGTTATCGGCCGATGTTGTCAGCCTAAAAATCAGAATTATCGGTCTTTGGTTTGAGTAATTTCAAGCAATGAGCACCTATTCTGCATTTTAAACCTGACCCGACCCGAGTTTCTATCATTGGTTAGTGATCCTAAACATAATTATTTATATTTGGTATGTTTATATTTCAATAAGTATGGTTAGATTATATTTTAAAATATTATATTATGTATATCATCATCTAGTAATGTCACTCTAATAAATACTACTTATCCCTGATATTTGCCTAATATCCACTATTCGATGTGGATTTTGAGCGTTCGATAAATCTCCGATAACCAATATTTAAAACTTTGGTGCCGACATTGTTGCTTCCCATTCCATCACTGACATTGCTCTAGAGGCGACAGAGGAGGCGGCCGTGGCATAGAAGAAGGCAAGAAAGATGCGATAAATTACGTTAAGATTAAGTGATGTATTTTGCTGCAATCGACAGGCTATAGCCGATAGCATCTATTGCCATCAAGCAGGATTAATGGCAAGAGAGAGGTGACTAAGGTTTGGGTGAATTAAAAGGAGGATAATTTGGTAATCGGTAACTCATGATTACTTGTAATCTAACCATAGTTAATGGATTTGGACAAATTATTTCATTGAGCAACTAATTTCAATATTGTATATTGAAAATAAAATTTGGGGGACTAATTTCAAAATATCAAGATTCGAGGGAATTAATATCAAAACATGAAAGGTTTGGGGGACTAATATAGAAAAACCCCTTATTAATAATAGAAGACTAATCCAAGTTGTAATTATACAAGGGGTCAAATAAACTAAGCTAGATAGCTTTCCGTACTAAATCTTTCTAAGCATAACAGTTTTATAAATAAACTTAGTTATCTTATAACACTCCCCCTCACGACAGAGCATTTACAATATACCTGTCTAGCTTGTTGCAAATAAAATACACAAACTCTAATTTGTAATGGGGCTCAAATGTTCAAAATCTTTTGCTTATAACTTTCCTCTTTGCAGTAGTCTTCATATTGCAATCCTTCACTTGAATGTCCTCTATCAAATAAATAATTTTCTCGAGAGATCCACCAAATGAATGATCTTATCCGGGATTCACCAAATGAATAATCCTCTTGGGATCCGCCAAACAAATGAGTAAATTCTCTCTAGGATCCATCAAATAAATAATCCTCTCCTAGGACCTACCAATTGAATGTGATATCTGCCAGAACCAATCTAAATGAGCTAAAAATAGCCTTTACTGAACCAATCTCTCAAACTTTCTTGTCCAAATGATGAGTAAACAAACTGCGAGAATGATTTTTATTGAATTGATCTCCAAAATAAACTAAATAAACAATCTTTCACTGAACCAATCTTAAAACATACTAAGAAAACAATTTTCACCAAACCATTTCCTAAATGAACGAATGTAACAATCGTCACCAAACCAATCTCCAAAACCCAACAACCAAACCAATGAAATAAAAGAAATCATTATGAAACGTAGTTCCAACCATAATATATAATAAAAAAATTCAAACTCAACTTTCAAATCAGTTGAAATCTTTTTTTCCCCTTTTATTTTCCTTTTTTGCTTTCATTTTCTTTTCCTATCCTTTTTCTCCTTTACTTTTTTTTCTCTCCTTTTTCCCTTTCCTTTTCTTTACTTGTTTTTTTCTTTCTTTTTCTTTGTCTTCTCCTTTCCTTTTTTCCCCTTTCTTTTCATTCCTTTCCATTTTTTTCGTTTTCCTTTTTTTCTTTCCATTTTCCTTTTTTTAATTCCTATTCTTTTCCTTTCCTTTTTTGATGTCCCTTTTTTGTTCCTTTTTCATGTACTTTTGCCCTTTCCTTTCCTTTCCTATTCTTTTCTTTCCCTTTCCTTTTCTTTCCTTTCCTTTTCTTTCCTTTCCTTTTTTTTCTTTTGTTTCACTTGTTCGGTTGGAATCTTATTTGGCCGTGGCCGAGGTATCTAGAAGATGTGCAGCGGCAAAGGATGTTGATGAATTGCAAAGAACATGGACTGTTGATAATAGTGTATTGTAGTGGGTTTTAGTCCCACATTGCTTGGGAGAACAAACCTCACACTCCTCTACTTGTATAAATATATGTGCACACTCAATATTCAATTCAAGGGAAATTTACCCAAGATTATCTCTCTCTCTCTTACTTTAACATGGTATCAGAGCTAGGGCTATTTCCCTTTCAATAAAATTTTTAACGCTTTTGCGTTCTTTTGCCAAATCTTGGCCTTATTGCTTTGCAGCCGTTTAATGTTTTATTTTTTTTTATTTTTATTTTTAATTATTTGGCGTTCATCTGCCAGATATTTTGGCCTTGTCGTTTTGCGGCCTCTTAACGCGTTTCGCGTTCTCGTTTAACCTTCGGGTTCTATTTTAAACCTTCGGGTTTCATTCTAACCTTCGGGTTCTATTTTAAACCTTCGGGTTTCATTCTAACCTTCGGGTTCTATTTTAAACCTTCGGGTTTCATTCTAACCTTCGGGTTCTATTTTAACGGCATTGTCGTTTCAAGACCGTCTCTCGGTCTCAAATTAACGGCATCGTCGTTTCAAGCCGTCTCTCGGCCTCAAACGAACGACATTAGTAACAGCATCTCGACATCTTAACGTCTCAAGATTGCTGTTATGGCTCCTTCAGAGAAGATTCCCAAACCACCTTTGCCCCTCAATGATCAAAGTGACTGGGCAGGGTGGTCCACCATTGTCACCAATGCCTTGCGTGGCGCTGGTTTGCTTGATCATCTCACCAGTACGGGACCAGTTCCACCGTCCATCAGCACTGTTGCTTCATCCAGTACTATTGCCTCTGGCAGTGGTGATGTCGATCTTCAGACTGCTCGTGCTCTCTATGTCAAGGAGAGTTCAGAGTGGCAATTGCAGGAATTTCGTGTTATGGATTATCTCACTCGCTGTGTTGGCTCTGGTCTCACTGTCGAGATTGGCTCGCTTCCCTCTGCTCAGGCCATGTGGACTCGTCTCACTGAGCGTTTCACTGAGTGCTCGGGTGCACGGGAGGCATATCTTCTGCAACGCATTTCTCTACAACGCAAAGGTAGTTCATCTCTGCAGTCCCATTTTGGACAAATGCAAGCTTTTTGGACAGAGTTACGCTCCATGCTTCCTGGACGTAATTCCACATATGAAGACTGGCTAGCCTGGTACGAACGGCATGAGGTGCATCAATTGTTTCAGTCCCTTCCTGAATATTCAACTATGGCTGATCAACTACTTCACCAGCCTCAATTTCCGACTTTGGCCTCAGTTATGGGAGCTCTCACTGCTTATGAGACCCGGCAGCAGACAGCACGACTCAATTTGTCAACAGACACTCCTACCTCTTCACTCGAGACTGTTTTGTCTGTACCTGTCACTGCTCCTGTTATGAATTATACTTCTCCACAGGCTCCCTCTCCACAGGCTCGATCTAAGCTCTCTTGCAAATATTGTAAGAAGGAAGGACACCGCATTGAGACATGCTTCAAGCTTCATCCTGAGTTACGTTCCTCAGGTACTGGACGTGGTCGGCGACCCCCTCAGTCTCAACCCTCTCGTACACCAGGATTGTTGGCCAATGCTATACCTTCTACTACTTCAGACTCTACTATTCAAGCTATTGAAAGTCTTCGCCGTCAACTTGATGCTTTTCAACATATCACCTCTACATCCGCCGCACAACTCTCTGGTATGCATTTTGCTGGTTCTTCAGCTAATCCTTCAGTCTCTGGTATGAATGATCTCTGGATTTTTGACTCTGGTTGTTCCTTTCATATGACTTGTAATGCCTCACTTTTATCCTCTGTCTTTACTTCATCCTCTCTTCCTCCTATCTACACAGCTGCTGGACAACCATTGTCCATTACTCAGTATGGCTCTATTACCCCACAAAATGATCCATCTGGTCGTCTAACACTTGGTCCCGTCTATGTGGCTCCACAATTGTGCTTGAATTTAATTTCTATTAGCTCTTTATGCATGGCGGGCCTGTTTGTCTCATTTTCTTCTGATACTTGTATTGTGCAGGATCCACAGACGGGCAAGACGGTTGGGGCGGGTCGTAGGAGGCACAAACTGTATTTTCTGGAATATCTTCACCTTCCAGAGTCCATACGTCCACGTTCTCTTGTTGCTTCTCTTTGTTCGTCAAAACCCTCTACCTCGCTTCCTGCCAATTTATGGCATAGACGACTTGGTCATGTGTGTAATAAAAGGCTGGAGAGTCTTATTCAGTCTGGAGTACTTGGTCCTGTATCATCTAGTTCTAGTATTGAGTCATGTGCTGGTTGCAAATTGGCTAAATTCACTGCTTTACCATTTAAAATGAGTACATCTGTATCCACTTCCTTATTTGATTTAGTACATTCTGATATTTGGGGGCCAGCTCCTTTGCCTTCTTCATCTGGCTACTTATATTATGTTAGTTTTATCGACGATTTCTCTCGTTTTACATGGGTTTACCTACTTAAGAATCGCTCTGACGTACTTACTGCTTATCAAGCCTTCACTGCTATGATTTTCACTCAATGGCAATCTCGTATTAAAGTTTTTCGTTCTGATTGTGCCAAAGAGTACCTATCCTCTGCCATGCGCTCTATCATGTCCTCTCATGGGACTATCTTTCAACAGTCATGTCCCTACACTCATGAGCAAAATGGTGTTGCTGAACGCAAACATCGTCATATCCTCGATACTGCCCGATCAATGCTCATTTCTTACTCTGTTCCTCGTCGTTTCTGGGCTGAGGCTATTCTCACCGCGACTCATGCCATTAATATCACTCCATCTAGCTCTCTTTCCGGTGCTACTCCTTATAGTCGTGTTTATACTCATCCTCCCCGTTATGATCTAGTTCGCGTTTTTGGTTGTCGATGTTTTGTTTTTCTGCCATCTCACGAACGTGATAAATTGTCTCCCAGAGCAGTTTCTTGTGTTTATTTAGGAATTAGTTCAGAACATCGAGGTTATCGTTGTTATGATCCCGCAACTCGTCGAGTTCATATATCTCGTCATGTTCAGTTCGAAGAGGATTCTCCATATTATTCTACTTCTGATGACTTTAATTTCCTCCACTCTACCGATCATGCTTCCCCGTCCACTGCATCACCCACTTCTTCACCTCAATTTTCCTTTCGAGATCTCCCTGACATCTCTCCCTCTCCTTCTGTTGACTCTTCCTCACCTGAGTCTTCTCTTACACCATCTAATCCATATCCTGTGGACACAACTCTCACTCCAGAAAATACTGTTGATCTTCATGCACCTGCGCCAGCATCTCCCCCGCCTGAGGTTCCTCTTGCTCTTCGTCGAGGCAAACGCCCACATGTCATGCCTGCCCGGTATGCTTCTGTTACTTCTTATTCACCTATCTTTCATAACTTTCTTGCTGCCATTCATACTATTGTTGAGCCAAAGTCCTTCCAAGAGGCAGTTCAAATTCCAGAGTGGCGACAAGCTATGGCTGAGGAATTTCAAGCATTTCAGCAAACTCATACCTGGGATATTGTTCCCTGTCCTCCTGGGATCTCTCTTGTTGGCAGTAAATGGGTTTATAAGGTCAAGTTTCGTCCTGATGGCACCATTGAACGTCGAAAAGCTCGTTTAGTGGCTAGAGGTTTTACTCAGCAACAAGGTATTGATTATGAGGAGACCTTTGCTCCTGTTGCTCAGATGCCCACTGTGCGTACTCTCCTTGCGGTCGCTGCTGCTCATCGTTGGCCCTTATACCAGATGGATGTCAAAAATGCTTTTCTTCATGGCTCTTTATCAGAGACCGTATATATGCAACCGCCTCCAGGGTCAAATATTCCTCCGGGACATGTATGTCTCCTTCGTCGTGCTGTTTATGGTCTCAAACAGGCACCCCGCGCTTGGTTTGAGTGTTTTCGCGATGTTGTGCTCAAAGCGGGCTTTATAGAAAGTCATCAAGATGCTTCTCTGTTTGTTCGCACTACATCGCGTGGCAGGGTTTTATTACTCATCTATGTAGATGATATGATCATTACAGGTGATGATATGACAGGTATACAATACGCAAAATCTCAGTTGCAACAACAGTTCCACATGAAGGATCTTGGATCTCTTCGGTATTTCCTTGGTCTAGAAATTTCTCAAGGCCCGCGGGGTGTATTACTGTCTCAACAGAAGTATCTCTCAGATATTCTAAATCAAGCTGAGTTAACTGATAATACAACTGTCGATACTCCACTCCAGCAGAATGTCAAACTTTGCTCTACTGACGGTGAGCCTCTATCTGATCCTACCCGATATCGACATCTTGTTGGTCAGTTGGTCTATTTGTGCATCTCTCGACCAGATATCTCTCATGCTGTTGGTATTGTTAGTCAATTTGTTAGTGCCCCATGTTCTGTACACTATGCTGTCTTATTACGGATTCTTCGGTACCTCCGGGGTACTAGCACTCGCTCACTTTTGTTTCCTGCTACATCTAAGTTAGAGCTTTGTGCATATTCTGATGCTGATTGGGCTGGTGATCCAACTACCAGAAAGTCTACCACAGGTTATTGTATATTTCTTGGTGATTCCCTTATTTCCTGGCGAAGTAAGAAACAAGATGTTATTGCTCTTTCCAGTACTGAGGCAGAGTATCGTGCAATGTCCACAACAGCTAAAGAGATTATTCATCTTCGTCGCCTTCTCAGTGATTTCGGTATTTCTGTTACGACTCCTACTCCTCTCTACTGTGATAATAAGAGTGCCATCCAGATTGCTAATAATCCAGTATTTCATGAAAGGACCAAACATATTGAGATCGACGCTCATTTTGTCCGTCACCAAGTTATCAAGGACAAGACAATTCTACTTCCTCATGTTTCATCCGCTGACGAGCTTGCAGATTTCTTCACAAAGGCCTTACCTGTTCATCGGTTCCAGTTTCTTGTACGCAAACTCACTTTGTTTGATCCAACATGAGTTTGAAGGGGGCTGTTGATAATAGTGTATTGTAGTGGGTTTTAGTCCCACATTGCTTGGGAGAACAAACCTCACACTCCTCTACTTGTATAAATATATGTGCACACTCAATATTCAATTCAAGGGAAATTTACCCAAGATTCTCTCTCTCTCTCTTACTTTAACATGGACAAAGGCAAATCGGCTTGGCTAAGGCGAAAACGAGGAAATGTACCTCAAGGACAACTATCACGACCAATGACAACATTCTTGATTGCCAATGAGGACGTGGTGAGTTTATGTTGATAGGGCAAACACTGGAACGGTCACGATGATGGTGATTGACGTGTGAAAACGATCTCTGGTTGAGGGAGGAAAGACACGTAATGGGTGGTTTGTGTAGAACTGGATTGATGTGGCGATGAGAGGGGATGTCCATGCCGCCAAAGGAAAGAATAGAGATGGTGCTTGTATCAAAACCCCCTCTACGTCTCAAGGTTGTTGTAGAAGAAAGAGCACTCTAGAGTTAAGAACATGACTTTGATACCATGTTACCTGAGGAAATCAGAGACATCAGATAGTTAATTTACCTCATCTCTACCTTTATTTATAATGGAAGACCAATCCAAATCCTAATTACATAAGGAACTAATAACTTTCTAGCCTGAATATCTTTCTAAACATAAGAAATTTCTAAATAAACTTTCTAAATAAACTAAGTGGTAACAAGAAGGAACGATTGAGGATATATGTATCCTGGTTTGTGTCCGACACATGCAAATATATGCAACATAGGCAGAAGTTTATGATAGTAGTGTCCATGCTAATTAGTTTGAAGAGCCACTTGCTTACAAATCACATTATTATGCTATTCTTGTCAAAAATTTCACTTCACAGCCACTTGATGCATCTCCAACAACATGTAGCTACCATGTCTTTTGAGCTGTATAACCTGAACCATTTTATTTGTACAACAAGTCATCTGAAATTTGTTTTATAGTAGACTGATAAACATCGTGTAGCTTAGATGCAATTTTATTTTATGATATAAGATTATTATGGTACTCCATTAAACACAACATGTTGAACTCATTTGACTTGTATATGCTTCATTGTACTCTTTTTCTTCCTATACTTCTTTATATTCCTTATTAGTATATAATTCAATATATTCCTTACTGGTAGATGTTTATTTTATGACGTAAGATTCTTATGATACTGCATTAAACACATGTTGGACTTTTTTGACTTGTATATGCATCATTCTACTCTTTTTCTTCGAATACTTTGTTATATTCCTTATTAGTAGGTATTTCAATATGTTTTAACATCTCCAAAACTTATCGTCTTGTAATGTACTTATTAATAGCCAAAGTTGAAGTTCACAACCATAAAATTTCATGTTTGTCTCTTGACATTAATTTCATTTTCTACGCAAATTAGGAGCTCTGATGGTTCTGGTCTTAAAAGTCGTCTCCTGTTCAATAAATTATAGTGATGGGGTTTTGAAAGAAGAAGGTTTGCGTGAGGTGCAAAAGAAGTATCGGTTAGTCCGTTGTCCCTCTATAGTTGAATACGTTGGTTACTGCATGCCTATGTTGTGGCAGTCACTTCGCAGGTCCAGTATTTGAAATGAAGGAGTACCTTGAATATACCGAACAAAAGGGGGTAAGAGCAGGATTTAACTTCTTTTAAAGAAGGGGTATTCATTTTCTTTTGTAGTTTCTTTCAGCAAGACTCACGGCGTCCCTTTCCTCCTCTTTTCCTGACTTATCCAGGTTTGGGCACCCTCAAAGGAAAAACCTGCACCATCACCTTATTGCTCAACCTTGCGTGCTTTAATTCAAGCAGTTATATGCATGGCCTTATATGTGTGTTTGGTATCACGGTACCCACTTTCCCGGTTCAGTGACCCCATGTACTATGAGTTGTTGACAGTTAACAGAAGAAAGACAGGAAGTTTTTGCACTCTATCTTCATTAATTCAGAACAAGGCTTTATAAGCCAATTACAGGAAAAACTGAAATCAGCACACGTTCACACGTTTTCACTAACTACTGATGCCTAAAAACGTGGCTTAATAAGCTAAACTAATTTGACCACAAATTTAGATAAACATGCTAACAGCCTAGATCAATTCAACTTCCTAAAATAAAGCTAACTGAAATTGATTCAGTCAACTTGAAACAACCTGAAAATAACTTGAATTCCAACAGCCTGTGCATGTTTGATCACAGCTTGTGCATGTTTGATCACTTCATTCAACACCTCCCCTTGATCCAAGCTTGCACATGCCTATCTTCTCCATGAAGTATTGATGCTTGACTTGATTCAGAGCTTTGGTAAACAAGTCAGCATTCTGAAAATCAGTTCCACAAAATTTCAAAGCAATCTGTCCTTCAAGTACCAATTTCCTGATGAAATGGTATTGCACATCAATGTGCTTAGTTCTGGCGTGAAATGCAGGATTCCTTGCCATAGCTATAGTAGACTTGTTGTCAAACCAGATTTCTAATGCACCCTGTTGCTCACAGCATAAATCCTTTATCAGCTTCTTCAACCACAGCAATTGCTTAGCTGCAGCACTCATAGCTATGTACTCAGCTTCTGAAGATGATAGTGCCACTGTATCTTGCTTCTTTGAGCTCCAAGTAATAGCTCCTGATCCTAAGTCAAACAAAGATGATAGTGCCACTGTATCTTGCTTCTTTGAGCTCCAAGTAATAGCTCCTGATCCTAAGTCAAACACTGATCCTGATGTACTCCTTCTGTCATCAACACAACCTGCCCAATCACTGTCTGTGTACCCTCTCACCTTGAAGTCTTTTACACTTTCATACCAAATACCATAATCCAGAGTTCTTGCCACATACTTTAGGATCCTTTTGGCTTCTCCAAGATGCTGCTTTGTGGGACAATTCATATATCTCGACACAACACTGACTGAATAAGTAATGTCAGGTCTTGTGTGTGTGAGATAGTTTAGACCTCCCACCATGCTTCTAAAAACTCTCTCATCTGCACTTTCTGTGCCATCAACCTTTTGCAGTTTCTCATTAGCATTCATAGGTGTTTTTGCTTTCTCACAATTCTCCATGTGAAATCTCTTAAGCAGATCATTTGCATACTTTCTCTGACACAAGAAAGTTCCATTCTTTTCTTGCTTTACATCCAAACCAAGAAAGTATTGCAAGACTCCCAAATCAGACATTTCAAACTCATTCATCATTGAGTCTTTAAATTCTGATAACATGCTACGTGAAGAGCTAAAATATATGATATCATCAACATAAAGGCAAACAATGATGAAATCATTCATACCTCTTTTCTTCACATACAATGTAGGCTCATTTTCACTTCTGCTAAAACCTGTTTTGATGAAGAAATCATCAATTCTGCTGTACCACGCCCTTGGAGCCTGTTTTAGCCCATAAAGAGCTTTTCTCAGTCTGTACACCATTTCTTCTTCACCTTTTCTGATGAATCCCTGAGGTTGCTCAACGAATACCTCCTCCTGCAATTCTCCATTGAGAAATGCAGACTTTACATCAAGTTGAAAGACCTGCAATTCCCACTGAGCAGCTAGAGCAAGAACAATCCTGACTGTCTCAAATCTTGCAACAGGAGAAAAGGTCTCCTCATAATCTATCCCTTCCTGTTGAGCATATCCCTTTGCCACAAGTCGCGCCTTGTGCTTTGAGATGCTTCCATCAGAGTTGTACTTAGTTCTGTACACCCATTTCAGTCCTATCAAATTCTTATCTTTGGGCAAACTCACTAGCTCCCATGTGTCATTTTTCTGAATGCATCTAATTTCCTCCTCCATTGCATCTTGCCATTCAGGTTGAGTAATGGCTTCATCAAATCCTGCAGGCTCAGTGACTAATAAAGCAAAGTTACAATTTTCATAGATATCAACAAGAGATCTTACACGTAGTGGAGGAGATTCATCTGATGATGAAGAGTGAGATGATGGTGAACTCTGACTACTTGAGGATGTTGATGACACAAGAGGTGTTGTTGGAGGAGATTGCTGTGTTGGTGCCACTTCAGGTTCATCAAGTTCTCCAAATGTAACAGATTTTTGCATCTCTTCTCTTTTCTGACTTGATTCACACCAGCTCCAACTTGCATTTTCATCAAAGATCACATTTCTGCTTATGATGATCTTCTTTGTAACTGGATTGTAGCCTGTATGCTTTGGACTCCATTGAGTAGCCAATGAATATGCATTTCTCTGCCTTGTCATCTAGCTTAGTTCTTAAATTCACCAGAGTATAAGCTATGCAGCCGAAAATTCTTAAGTGACTTACAGAGGGCTTTTTTAATCTCCATGCTTCAAATGGAGTTGAGTTTATGACAGCTTTTGTAGGGGACAGGTTGAGTATATATACTGCTGTTGCCACTGCCTCACTCCAGAACTCATTTGGCAAAGATTTGGCCTTAAGCATACATCTTGCCATCTCCACCACAGTCCTGTTCTTTCTCTCTGCTACACCATTCTGCTCTGGTGTGTAAGGTGCAGTAAGCTCTCTTCTAATGCCATGTTCCTCATAGAAATGCATGAATTCCTGTGACACAAACTCACCACCTCTGTCTGTTCTCAAAGCCTTGACTTGCTTGCCACTTTGTTTCTCCACCAGAGCCTTGAATTTCTTAAAGTTTTCAAAGGACTCTGATTTTGCTTTCTGAAAATACACCCATGACATTCTACTGTAATCATCTGTGATCAACAGAAAATACTTACTTCCTCCCAAAGATTCTGTTTGCATAGGCCCACACAGATCAGCGTGCACCAGTTCCAGCCATTCACTAGCTCTCCATGACTTCCCACTTGGAAAAGATCCTCTTGCTTGTTTTCCATACACACAGCCTTCACAGATGTCTAGATCACCAATTCTAGGCAATCCATTCACAAACGCTTTAGTACTTAAGATCTTTAAACCATGAACATTTAGATGTCCATACCTGAGATGCCATAACTTGGCACTGTCATCACCTTTCACCACAAGTGCTTGACCTGCACTTCTTGTCAGATCCCATGGAAAGACTTTATTCTTTCCCATTGCAATTTTCATTAATGCTTCATTGCTTTGCTTTTCCTTGATCACACACATGTTATCTTCAAATACAACTTTGTAGCCGCCACAAACTAGTTGCCCAACACTTAGAAGATTGTGTGCCAGTTTTGGCACATACTGAACATTATGCAGGAGCTTTGATTTTCCTTGCTCAGTTGAAAAAACAATTGTGCCAAGCCCTTCAACTGTCAATTGCTTTCCATCTCCAAGCCTGACAACACTTTTCTTGCTGTCATCAAGATTCTGAAACATAGCTCTTGAGCTGGTCAGGTGATTGGAACATCCACTGTCCACATACCAGACAGTATCTCCTGCTCTATCACAATTATGTTGAGCCAAGAACAAATTCTCTTGCTCAGCATAATTTGACTTTTGCTCCTGCTTTCCTTTCTCCTTGTCTTCATCTTTCTTCCAACAAGAGGCCTCCTTATGCCCTGGTTTGTTGCAGTAGTAGCATTTTATAGGCCCCTTGTAATTTCTTTTGGAAGACTCCTCTCTTCCATCATTGGATTGGCCTCTTCCACGCCCTCTCCCTCTGTAGCCTCCTCTTCCTCTTCCTCTTCCAGAGTTCTGATATGATTTCTCCTTGTTTGAAGACTCTCCTTTGACATGGAAGGTTTTCTCCTCTTTCTTGTCATCACCTTTGGAATGTCTCTCTTCATGAGCTTGAAGAGACCCCATCAATTCATCAAAGGTATAAGTTTCCATTTCTTTGGATTCTTCAATTGCTGTCACCACATGATCAAACTTGTTTGTGAGGCTTCTTAGCACCTTGCTTACAACTTGTTGAGATTTGATTTCTTCTCCATATGACCTCATTTGCTGGACAGTGCTTGACACACGTGAGAGATACTCCTGGACAGTCTCCTTTTCTTTCATCTGAGACGTCTCAAACTCTCTTCTAAGAGACTGCAATCTCACTGCAATCACCTTCTTGTCTCCCAAGTATTCTTGCTTGAGAGTGCTCCAAGCTTCTTTTGCTGTAGAAGCTGCTGCAATTCTTGGGAACACTTCATCATCCAGAGATTGCTGAATGATGTAAAGTGCCTTTGCATCCTTCTTTCTCTTGTCTCTCAATTCTTGATCTGGCTCTACTGGTGCATTATCAGTAAAGCCATCTTCCACAATGCTCCACAACTCCTGTGATCTAAAGAGAGTTTTCATCTTTAGACTCCAAAAATGGTAGTTCACTCCTTTGAACATAGGCAACTGGGTAATCGAGTTCCCATTGCCACCAACACCATTGTTGTTGTTTTGCATTGTTTCTCTCTGTGTTTCCCTTGTGTTTAATCCTCACACGAAACACTCAATCAAACCCAAGAATTCTCTCTATGGCTCTGATACCAAATGTTGACAGTTAACAAAAGAAAGACAGGAAGTTTTTGCACTCTATCTTCATTAATTCAGAACAAGGCTTTATAAGCCAATTACAGGAAAAACTGAAATCAGCACACGTTCACACGTTTTCACTAACTACTGATGCCTAAAAACGTGGCTTAATAAGCTAAACTAATTTGACCACAAATTTAGATAAACATGCTAACAGCCTAGATCAATTCAACTTCCTAAAATAAAGCTAACTGAAATTGATTCAGTCAACTTGAAACAACCTGAAAATAACTTGAATTCCAACAGCCTGTGCATGTTTGATCACAGCTTGTGCATGTTTGATCACTTCATTCAACATGAGTGGGGTTTCTGGCGAAAGCTTTTCTACCAATACATGCTTGGATTTACTGCTCGGTGGAAGTATTATTTTGTCTGGTCAATCTCAGAAGCATCAGTTATCATATCTGGTCTCGGTTTCAGTGGCTGGTCAAATTCTTCTCCCACCTAAGCCACAATGGGACCGTGCAAAAAATGTTGATGTACTTGGTGTGGAGCTTGCAACTAGCTCAGTTCAGATTCCACTTATGTGGAACATACATGTGAGCACTTGGCTAAGACACTGTGAGTTTCTAATAACTTCCAATATTAGTGCACCTATTTTTTTCTTTTATACATTGTCTATCTATGTGTGATACATTGGAGTGTATGTGAAAAATATCATGTAGAAAACTGAAACCCAGTCATATGAAAAAGTGGAACATGCACTTCCTTGGAGCACCTATATATCATTATATGTGATGGGCGAGGTCACAAATTTGAGGAGCAACGCGGCAACTTAATAAAAATTTTCTTGGTGGAGAAAGTTTGGTGGTTATCCATATTAATTATAAAAAGGAAAATAAATAAATAAAATAATCTTGTTTGAATGGTTTTGCAGCCCACAACATGCAAATTTTTCACATGAAGATGTGCATAATGGCACATGGACATGCTGTAATGGCACTTGTTAAAGTGTACATTAATATGGACTTTTTATCTTTACATTTGAATTTTGAAATCACATTAATGTTAGTTTCAGGAATATGTCCATTACCGTCTCTTATATAATTGGGACTCATTTTTGATGAGCAGATTAAAATCAGGAAAGTTGGATGAATAAGATAGGCTAACCCTTGTGGAATATCTGGGTGTATTTTGTTATCCATGTACTTTATGGTGACCTTTTAAATGTCTGGATACGATACATGTAAAATATCTGGTCTTCTATAGCTTTAAGCAACACAGTAATGTAGACCTATCTACACATGCATGCATACATATGAATGCGCATTTATACAAGCCTACTCCTAATATTCAAGTCAAAAGTTGTGGCTTATGCAAATGCCAAGATGACGATGCATGTATTTATACATATGACCATGGCAGTTTTGTGTTCCTATAGCTGTAATAATTAGAATGCAGACATGTGGTCCTGGATGTGCACTAACAAGTGCTTTCATTTTTTTTTCATCTTAAAGATGGCATTAGAACCCGAACAAGCTTGTGATCTTGTAACTGAATTTACCAATGGTGGTGAATCTGTGTTTTGTGTGTTTCGTTCAAGCAGTTCATGCATATGCTTGTGTATGTTTGTGTGTATATTTGTTTGTGTGTGTGCGTGCGTGCGTGCGTGCATGTGCATGTATGCCGTGCACTTGAACGTATGTGACTGTTCATGTGAACCACATATGTATGTGTACAGATCTAGATGCAACAGATGTCTGCACTACACACATGTTTCCATTTTTATCTAAATATTTCCTAAGAGAATATATTGGTAGCTGTAACTGTTGAGATATTAGTAGGCTAAATACCTATATTGGTATTTTAATTCAACCCCATTTGCCAACAAGGTATTTTAATTAGGAAATTCAGCGATAAGACATTTTAATTGAATAAAATTACCATTTAGGTCCTTTTTCTTGCCGGCGGCCACTTTTCCGGCGAGAACTCATCACGTGCGTTGCACGTGGGGGCTTAATCTGTGTTTAAGATGCTGATTTAGGTCCTTTCTCTCTCTCCGCCTGAGTTCACCGCCGCTCGCCGCTGCTCCAAGCCCCAGTCCGCCGCCGCTCGCCTCAGTTCGCCGCCGCGGCCAAGCCCAACCATCACCACCGCCCCATCTCCCAAGCCGACGAGCTCGAGCTCCTCTCCCAACGCCGCCCTTCCCCCTGAGCTCGACCCGCGCCCAGTCCGCCGCTCTCCCGCAGCTGCTCTCCGACGAACTCCAGCGACCTCAGATCACCGCCAGCGACCCCCGAGCTCCGACGACCGCCTCCCAAACTCAATCAACTGCCGAGAGCTCCCCAGTCTCCCCTCCTTCCATCTCCGATCTCTGCCACGTCAGAAAATAGAGCCAAATCAGCATCTTAAACACAGATTAAGCCCCCACGTGCAACACACGTGATGAGTTCTCGCCGGAAAAGTGGCCGCCGACGAGAAAAAGGACCTAAATGGTAATTTTATTCAATTAAAATGTTTTATCGCCGATTTTCCTAATTAAAATACCTTGTTGGCAAATGGGGTTGAATTAAAATACCAATATGGATATTTAGCCGATATTAGTAATAGATAGGGTGTTATTTGTAAGTTGTGTTGTAGGGGCCTATATAAGACAAAGAGATTTCATAATACAATTATGGTTTCTATTTCAACTTGGTATCAGAGCCTCCTCCAAACCCTAGCCGCCGCCACCCCACCCCACCCCCTCCTCACCCGGCT